GATGAATCCGCGACGGATTTTGAAACGCCAGGCGAATAAAAGTGTTGTTCCAGCGCTCGAGTCGTCTTCCCAGTTTCTTCCTGGGACTTGCATGTCCGCTTTTATTGGCAATAGTAGTAGTAGTAGGTAAATATAAGGAAACTGCAAATATCAAGTGTTTTATTTAAGTATGTTATACAGTTTTCAAACCGGCGCGCAATTTGAAAATAAAACGGTTTGTCGCAGCAATTGTGTCAACTGCTATACGAAGACAGTCACTATCGTGCGTATACTGCAACATAACCGCTTATTCATGCTAGTCATTGCAATTTAAAGTCTCAGTGCCCCCCTTAAATTGATAACCTTGAACCCCTAATAATCGCACCCTTCACGTGCCTTCTAGGCATTGCTAAGTATGTTTTTTATCCAGCTACCAAACCGTATTCAGCTTCGAGATTGCTTCTCAACTATGAATCCTGTTGCAGTTCTTGCGTAATTGTCCCCAAAATGTCCTGTTCCCTTCTCTAGACCCTCAACATGGATCACAACAAGATCTGCGAAATTCCTCCAAACATCCTCTCTCAGAGCGAGTGCTTGATCAAACTTAACCTACGCGACAATGAGATTGAAACTCTTATACCAGAAGGTACGTATGCTGACAAAAACCTTCAGGATTAAAATAGATGCCTCTGTGCTGCTGCCTTTCCAAACCCCAAACTTTTTTTCTACTTGTCTTCTCCGACTCACGGTGCGCAAAGCTTCTGTGAGCACCTCAATGTCACTGGTGCTCATTTGCCAAGCAGGTCCTTTGAAATGTCCGACCGGGAGTAGGGAGAGATAAATTTAAGTTCGTCAAAGTATCACTAGCGTAATCGTTGCTTTGCTGTTACTGCGCAGTGTGCTCTGATCGTGTGTTGGCAAAACTACGTTCTCCAAAACCCTTCTTCTCATTGGCCAGTGGAACTCGGTCCTGTTGATTGTATCTCAGCAATGCTCTCTCTGATCATGGCTGTTACTTATTGTTAAGGGACGACGAGTTTAATGGCCTTACTGGTTTTCCTGTGTATTCCCATGTCGAGGGTTATTTTTTAACAGTTAATAGAGCCAAACCGTAGGTCTTGATGAACTGCGGATTTAACTTTAGTCGCATAATACATCGGGAGGGCCACAAAACTGGTCCATGTCGTGGGGTTTTTTGCTAGTCGTCCCTCGAAAGAACTTTTCGCGACCTGGAACTGTGTTTGCCCCCGCATGGAACAAGACTATGTGGGTGTACGTAATAACCAGAAATCAACCGACCAAACTGTGAAAAACACGGTGGCCAGGAGGGGGGCTCATAACTCAAACGATTAAAGCGTTGGCTGTACACAAGCTCTGCACTTGCTTTCGTGAAGGTGACAACAAGTGTATCTAAACTTTTTTTATTTTTTAGTAAAACTTATTGTGTCCTCCGAACAAATTGTCAAAGTGTGCTGGGACATTCAAAAAGATTCATCAAAATTAGTCGCCGTGGGCGCGAGTTAGTGCACCAAGGCTCTCTTCCACTTGTGTGCCTCGAGATGGTTCCGCCAGCCATGTACGGTGCACGCAGTCCGCTGTTTTTTTTTCAACCGGCCTGTTTTTCGTGGACGGAATGTCTCTGTATCGGCCACTAACAATTGCGTGGGCGGCAAATGGCGGCATAGCTTCGAATCGATGTCCACGCCTCTGTGTGCGTGGGCGTACTTTACATCTCACGCCCACATGAACTGCCAGCGGTCACGACTAAGTGCCAAAATCAGGACTACATATTCGTGTCTACATTTTGAGGTTTCCTCCCGTAACACTTACTCTTGTCTTTCGTGGTAATTTCTCTGCTAATTGGTGTAGTTCCTTCAGACCAGGTTCGATTTTCTCAATGAGTTTTTTTTTTAAATTAGAGTGTTAATAACAGCCAGGCATTTCGTATGGAAAACGTCTATTTCTGGTACTTGCGCGTAGCGGTTGTTTTGGTGACTGCACACATATGTGTTGCCGTCCTGCCGCCCCACACTCTTCGCGGACCCATACAGAATTAATTGCCTTCAAACGTTCATCGCGCTCTGATGTTTGCCCGGTCACTGCAGATGGCAGGGCCTTTAGGCAGGTTGAGGGCGCCTCTGCTGACTTTGTTCGAACATTCGCCACAAATGGCAAAATAAGTTGCCATCTGAGATCTCCATGGAACCCTGTGGAGTGATGGTATGAGACCACCGAGCATGCTAACAACATGTATCCATAGGGGGGAGAGGAGTTTTCATATCGTGCACGCTCAGAAAATATCCCCCGCCATCCCATTGTTGGTCGATAGTGAATGCGCTCCGCTACCTGGTCTTGTTTCCAACGGACAGCTATGCCGTCCGTAATGTGCGCTTTCTTTATTTGTTGACTGAGGCCACTCATCCGTGTGCAGCGCGACCTGTCAGCGGACTCTTTGGCGCCTCTGACTTCTGACGGCATCCAGGTGACAAAATCAGAAAGCGTGGGTAGACTCTGCAAAAGCTCACCTCTGGACCTACTCGGGTCTAAGATTTGCATAACTAGCGCACCAGTTGGCTCCATTTAGCTGGGGTATTTGCTGCCGATCAGCTGTCATACAAGGCGATCGTTCTTCATGTGGTCCACCCGAAACACAGTCGGTAGGGTCGTTCTTGATGGGCCGCATCGTATTTACACAAACCAGGTGAAATGGTTCCCACCGATGATATACCCTCGTCTTGCAGTGCATTATTGTACACATATTTGCGTTTCTGGTCGCAGCGGGCTTACTATTGGCTACCCAAAGATAAGCTTTAACAGTTTATAGATCATTCCATTCTCATGATCTGTTTTTACTAAAAGTTTTTTTTGCGACCTTAAGCTTATGATTCAATAACTCCCGTCTCAGTATATCAGTATTCACCCACACATATGATCTGTCTCAATCAGTCTGGTCGTCTAGCACTTGAATTCTTCTTTGCATAAATATTTTCAGAGGAAGGATAGGGGAAAGTGGGATTTCGCCTCTCGCTACCAACCTTTGTTATCTTGCTAAGTGCCTAAACCGACATACCTCGGACTAGTCTCCTACTGAGGGTCTGCTGATGCTCCCCCATGGCTGTCCTCACCTTGTTCCGATGTCAAGACGATGTTAAAACGACCGAGG